ACCCGGCGACGCTGGGGACCTGGCCGCAGCCGTGCCCAGGAGCACCAAACAGGCGGGCGGCGAGGACTCCAGCTTCCATTTTTACAGATGAGGACGGGGGGGCAAAGCCAGGTCAAGGCCAAGGGCTTCTCTTTCCAAACCCCCACCCTGCGCCCTGCACAAGCCGCCTCCCTGATTCCTGGGAGAGGAAGGAGTCCAAAGGGCTAGCAGAGTGGGTGGCAGCTGCAGACCCCACACGCAGCTCACTGTCTTCAAATTCACCGACGAATTTTGATTTTATTTGGGAGGCGGAGAGGCAGAGAATCTTCCCCTCTGCTGGTTCATTCCCCAAATGCCTGCAATAACCGGGGCAAGAGCCAGGCCGGAACCAGGAGCCGGGCACCGAAGCCTGGGTCTCCCACATGTGTGGTAGGGACCCAAGTGCTGGCACGTCCACCGGCTGCTCCCCCACCCGGACGCGTTAGCAGGAAACAGGAAGCAGACGTGGAGGTGACCCTGGTCCCGGGCAGTCCCGGATGGCGCACAGCTCGACCACTGCAGCCAGGCACCTGCCTTGTGTAGCTCCAGAAGGGGACACGAGTGCCTGACAGCCCGGAGCACACACGGACAGGTGTCTGTGGCCGTGGGAAGCAAATGCCAGCGGGCGCGGGGGTCCAGGAGCCTCCAAGGCCCCGCCCCTCATGTCTTACACCACCTCCTGCCTGGCTGAGTCCACCCATCTCCCTCCTCGGCCGGTCCAGCTGATCTTTCCTGCCACATCACCAACAACCGCCCGCTGAGGCGCTAGAAGGCGGCTCCCAGCCCTGCCCCCATGGGCTCTGCCGCGCTGGCTGCGGGCGGGAACCCTGGCAGCGCGGGGAGGGGTGGATGCCGCTCATCTTGATCCTCCTTGTTCAGCAGAGCGAACACAGATTAGGTTTCATTTATGGGGGAGACAGCAAAGTCCCGAAGCCCCAGGAGGCCAGGCGTGGATCTGCCCGGGTGTTCGGTGTTCACCGGTGGCGAGGGGACTCAAGGCAGGCCCAGGACTCTGCTGCGGTGGGAACAGACTGGGCCTCCCGCCCCACGAGGATCCCTGGAGATCACCACCCTCTCCTGGTCCTGTGGGACTCTGGGGACCCAGCTTCCGTCAGTGATTCTCAGGAGCCCCTGGCGTAAGAGCAGCTCCAAGGTCAGCCCCTAGGGGCACTCGGCCCCCGGCCATGAGAAGATTCCAGGCTCTGGATTCAAACACTGGTGTCTGAGGTCCCTCTGTCTGCAGAGAACCGGGCCCCACAGCCCCAGCCTGCAGACGGCCTTGACAATGCTGACACCTTGTGGTGACAGGAGGAACTGTCCCTTCCTTCCCTCCCTCTAGGCAGAACCCAACACACGGTTACACAAAAACCCAGTTTACAAGGTAAACAAGTCAGAAAGGGGGAGAGAGACTTTTCCCGTTACAAAACGGTTAAATTTAAGTAGCTACCAAAACATAAAGAGGAGATTCATTTCCCCCCAGATCCCCGAACCAAAAATGGCCCAAGAACACCTAGCAAGAAACACCACAAATACCCACGTCCTGCCTGGGGCACGGCTGTGCCTGGAAGCCCTGGGGACCACCGTCACCTCCAGCTCCTCTGTCCTCGGCACTTCTGGCCCTGCTCTGTCTCTGAGCCTGTGCCCATCTTTGATCCTGTATGGCAGTGAAATGGTTAAGAGCCGGACACCCAGCTCCGACCACTCGCTCTGTGACGAGTCACCAACATCCCTGAGTCACAGCTCCTATCTACGAAATGTGGCTGTCTCTGTCCGGCAGGGAGGGCCGAGGAGTCTCTGTCCAGCAGGGAGGGCCGAGGAGCAGGCCGAAGGAGCTCCCGGCACAGGATCCGGCAGGTGCTCGGCCGACACCTGCTGTCATCGCCGTCGCCTCCACGTCGTCTCTGGTCAAAGGGCCGAGCACACAGTAGGACCACAGCAACTCTCGGGGCTGCTGCCTGCAGCTCCAAGCTCAGGTTACGTCACTTCCAGCCATGCTGGATGCTTCTGATCTGGGAAGTAAGCTCGTTCCCACCCCCAGGGCCTTTGCCCTTGCAGCTCCTGCAGTGCTTTCCCCGGAAACCGACACGTCTGGTCGCTCCCCAGCGTTCAAACGCCACTGCCTTAGAGAAGCCCGCGCAGCCACCGTGACCAAGTGGGGCACGCGCTCTCTCTCTCTGTCTCTCTGTCCCCCCTCTCTATCCCTCCCCTTCTCTCTCTCATTTACTACACTATAGACAAGGGCCTCATGGCTGAACAGAGTCTTGGTTCTGACCCTTGGCTGTGTGGTCTCAGGCAAATTGTTCGCCCTCTCTGTGCCTCCATTTTCTCAACTGTAAAGATGGAATAGTAGTTCCCACTTCATAAGGTGATGAGGATAACAAATACCCTTTGATTTATCCTTTATACTTGTACAGTAGCGAATGAAATGTAGATTAAGTGCTACGTCATGTTGACAACTATCTTGTTCATTTAGAGATTTATTTATTTGAAAGGCAGAGTTAGAAAGAGAGAGGGAGAGACAGAGAGATCTTCCGTCTGCAGGTTCACTCCCCAAATGGCTCCAACAGCCAGGGCTGAGCCAGGCTGAAGCCAGGAGATCAGAGCTTACTCTGGGTCTCCCACGTGGGTGCAGGGGCCCAAGCACTTGGACCATATTCTGCTGCTTTCCCAGGCGCATTAGCAGGGAGCTGGGTAGGAAGTGGAGCAGCCGGGACTCAAACTGGAGCCTATATAGGACGCCAGCATCGCAGGAGACAGTTTTACCTGCTACACCACAACGCCAGCCCCTATCCTGTTCACTTTTTACAGATTTATTTATTTATTTGAAATGCATGTGTGTGTGTGAGAGACAGATCTTCCATCTGTTGGTTCACTCCCCACATGGCTGCAACAGCCAGGGCTGGGCCAGGCCAAAACCAGGAGCCAGGCTCTTCATCTAGGTCTCCCACGTGGGTGAGGGGCCCAAGCACTTGGGCCATCACCTGCTGCTCCCCAGGCGCATGAGCAGGGAGCTGGACCGGAAGCGGAGCAGCCGGGACTCACGGGTGCTTGGATGACTGTTCGTTTACTTGCTTGTGTGTTTCTCCTTCTAGACTGTGCACGCCAGCAGGCCTTGTCTCCCACCCCTGACTGACTCACAGTAGGAGCTGAAGAAGTGTCAGTGAGTTAGAAAGGAGCTTAGGGACCTACCAGGCCTCCTCTGAGGCTGCCACCGCGCCCCACTGTTCAGAGCGGGCCCTCGGGCGCCCCCTGCTGGTCAGCAGAGAGAGGTGTGTGTGTACGTAAGAGGATGACCATGCCCTCTGCCCTGGGGCAGTCCCCAGGGGACCACAGGGTGCCAGGACGGCCTCACAGGCCCGCCTGGCTCAGCAGCTGTCTCGGCCCCTGAACCAAGCTCCAGGGACAGCCCCTCCACAACAGCAGGCCTGGGGCACCCCATGATCCGGCCCCGGGGGCTCCCCTGTGGCCCTGAGCCCTGGCGAGTGCGCGAGGGAGAACCCAGCTCAGGCTCCGGCTCCTGCCTGGGAGAGCAGCCAGGGCTGGAGGGGCCCCCAGGCCTCCTCGCCTTTCTTGAAGCTCGGCCCCCACAGTCTGCCCTCTCCCGCCTCGCTCCACACTCGCTCCCAGCTACCTGGTGTTCCTGGCTTTGGTCGCTGACCACGCACATGGAAACTCCTACCTGTATCTCCAGCCAGAGCCCCAGAACCCCCGTAGGCCCCTGTACCAAATGTCCCCTGGGCACCCCAAGCTTAGGGGTGCTCCCCACCACCTGTAGCCCCTCCCACACCCACCCCGACATCTGCTCCCAGCAGTGCCCAGCCCCGTCCTGGCCCCGCATCCACTTCCTGCCTCTGCCCACCTCAGCGCCCCACAGCCACCCCTGCCCGCTCGCCCCCTGTGACTCCTCGGATGCGGGGTCCACAGGGGTGCACCGCGGCCTTCACTGCTCAACAAGCCGGGCCCCGGGGGCACGCACTGCCTCCCTCGTCTGGCTGGCAGCTCAGGAGGGTGTAACTGCGCCTTCCCCTCTGGGGCCCCTGGGACAGCGGCTCTGCCTCCTCCTCTAGGCTGGGAGCTCCCGAAGGTGGAGGTTTTGGCTCCCCTGTCAGACAGGATGCCCCAGAGCAGGGCCTGGGCCTCCACCATTAGACTGGAGCCCCTGGACAGTTGGTTTACCTCTGCCCGCAGTCTCCTGTCCCCGGTCTGGCCAGGCTACCGATCCTCCCGGGACAGGGCTTCCTCGCCTGCGGGACCCGGCCTGGGATTAGGGAGTGAATGAATGAAGCCAGGAAGGAGGGAGGGTGCCTCAGCTTGCACCTGCTGAGGTGCTGCCAGGTGCCTGCCAGGCCTGGGGGGAACCAAGCCAGAGGGCGGACCTCCAGGACCTCCGCCCGCCCCCTGGGAGGGGCCCTGGCGGTGGGGGCAGGGAGCACCCACTCGCCTCCCCTCCTCCAGCCCGAGCGGGGCACCACCTCCGGGCAGGGCTTGGACACCGACCAAGGGGAGCAGATGCTCGGATGTGCCCCACGCAAAACCAGGTGTGGGTGTGGGGGGGTGGACAGTAGGAAGTGTCATGAACCCGAGAGGGAGCCCCTGACCCCAGCAAGGACCCCACTGCCCACCCAGCCCTGGGCATCACAGTCCTGTCTTCAGAAAGGACAGGGGGTGGGCAGCCAGGCCTGGGAGAGGGGCCTGGGGCAGCCCCGCCCCCACACCCTGTTCTGGCCTCTGGGCGGCTTGGGTGTTCTGCAGGCGCCAGACCCAGCTGACTCCTCCTTGGCCTCACAATCCAGTCTTTGTCCCGCACTGCCGGCCAGGCCCGGCTGGCTCCACACTGGCCCCGCGGCCCCTGGAAACCGGAGCAGCTGGAGCCTCCCCAAGTATTTTTCCAACCCCGGGCGCGCGGGGGTGGGGTGGGTGCTCAGGAGACTGCGAAGGCTATGGGGGGGGGGCATTCATTCATCCGTCCACTCACTCGGTCCTTCCTGGGACAAACCGTATTTATTGGGCGCCCACTGGGCGTCAGGCTCCGTGCTAGCGAAGGGATTCAGCAGCCCGCCCAGGCCCAGCCCTCACCCGCCTCCCGCCGTGGAGGCGGCCACCTGCAGACCCCCGGGCTGGGCGTGGGCGAGGAGGGGGGGGGTGCGGGGGCGGGGCGCGGAGGGCAGGGATGCTACTAAGTCGGGGGAGGCAGGGGGGTCCCTCAGGGCTCCACCCACACGCCGCTGTTGGTCACTCGGGCCCCGAACCAGCCCTTCCAGTAGACAGAGTCCTGGCCCCCGTGCTCGAAGCGGACGAAGCGCACGCCGGGCCCGTAGTCGGTGAAGGTGTGCGAGATCTGCGGGCGGGGCGGAAGGAGAAGCGCTCAGGGCGCCCCGCCACGCGCCCCCGCTGCCGGAGCCCGGGCCCGCCCAGCGCCGCCCACTCGGGGCTCACCTCGATCCAGCCCGCGTCGTCGCTGTCTGGGGCCACCGCCACCTGCCCGCTGTTGAACTCGGCCAGCACGTCCTCGTGCTCGGACAGCAGCGTCACCGTGAGCTCGTACAGGCAGCCCGCGTCCCTGCGGCCCGAGTACCTGCCCCAGCGGGAGCCAGCTCAGCCCTGCGGGGCTTGCTACCGGCGCCCCATTTCCCAGACGTGGAGACCGAGGCCAGCGAGGCTGACCCAATGTCCGCGGGCAAGGACTAAGCCCCGGGGTTGGCCAGACCCAAGGTCGAAGGAGGATCCAACCCAGAGACACGTTTTATTTGGAGTGCCGACGGATTTAAACGTTTAGAACATGCATAAATGCACACGCACACACACACATGTATGCACGCACACGCACACACGCGAACACACACACGCCTCTCACCAGTCCTTCACCACGATGGCCGGCTGGGTCGTGTCCAGCAGCTCCTCCCAGTAGCCCTCCGCCTGCAGGTCAACGACCTGCGCTTTGCGACACCACCTGGGAGAGCCGGAATCAGCACGCGGCGGACGCCCCCAGCCCCACGCGCACGCGCGCGCGCACGCCCGCTCCCCTGGTCCTTACTCGAAGGAGGAGGCGAAGTACTTCCGGACGCTCTCATCGTGCGTGAATTCCGCCCCGCTGTCCCCGGGCAGGTCCTCCACCCTCCAGCCGTCCCCACCGTGCTCCACGTCGCACCAGCCCTCCAAGTCCTCTGCGGGGAACAGACGGCCCCGCGTCGGCCCCCGCAGCCCCGCCGGGCACTTCCCGGCCGGCCCTGGCTCCCTGAGGGTGGGAGCCCATGGGCAGAGCCCCCACCCTCACCCCCGCCCCGGGAAGCAGGTGCCCGGGGAGGGGCTGCTCCGCAGTGAGCGCTGCGCCCGGCGCCCGGCGCCCGCCTCCCCCCGGGTGTGGGGGCCCACGCAGCGCCGGCCGCTCACCCTCGCCGCACGGGTTGCGCAGCAGGTTGCGCCGACGCTTGCTCAAGAAGTAGAACTGCTGCCAGTGGTCGCGCTCGTCGCCGGCGCCGTCCCCGGCCACCAGCCCCTCCTGCTGACACTTGAGCAGCCACAGCGGGGCGCCGTCCACCAGCTCCCGCCAGCGCTGGCACACCAGGCGGCAGGCCTGCACCAGCTCGGCGGCCGGCAGCGCGGCCAGCACCCGCAGCAGCAGCGGCTCGGGCAGCTCGGCCAGGTACGCCGCCGCCTCCGCGTCCTCCTGCTCCTCCTCCTCCTCCTCGGGCCGCTCCTCGTCGGCTCCCGCCTCGGCGCCCGCCTCCTCCGGCTGCTCCTCTGGGCTTGCCTCTTCTGGCTGGCCCATGCTCTCTGCGGGGAGGGGGAGGGGGAGGCTGTGACTCCCGCACTGTCCCCTGTCTGAGGCCACAACCGCAAGAGACCGGGAGTTGAAGAGCGTAGCAGAGACTGTCTCCCTGCAGGGCCCGTCCGTCCCCTACCTGAGCAGGTGCCATCAACAATGACAGCAGTGTGTAGCGCTGCCCCAAGCCTTCGGCAGGAAGCCTCCTATCCCCGGAGTATTCCGCGCAGACCCCTGCTCCCCTCACCTTGGGCACTGAACACAGCCATCGGGCCATCCTACAGCACTGGAACTCCTGCCTCCTGGCTTTCGCCCTGGGATGGGACAGTTTGACAAAAGCCCTTCTCTGGACCAGACTGTGCCTGGTGACTGGCACCTGGCCGCCCACTGGGGCACCTTCAGGAGCCCACGCTCACTGGGCACCGGGCAAATGTCACGCCTTGCTCTAAGCATTTCAACTTTCTTTCCTCCTTAAATCCTCCCGCTGTGTCTTCCAGGTTGCTTCTATAACTGTCCCCATTTCAGTGATGAGACTGAGGCATGGAGCGGGGAAACAGCCCAGGGTCACTGGCCAATCGGTGTGGGGAGCCTGGATTTGAACCCAGTCTGGCCCCAGAGACACCATCAACCAGCACAGGCTCAGCAAAGCACGTTGCTGATTTGGAGACAGATGAAAAGGCTGGGGCTTGTAGAAAAAGCGACCTGGAGGGGCCGGCGCTGTGGCGCAGTGGGTAAGGCTGCCACCTGCAGTGCTGGCATCCCATATGGGCGCCAGTTTGAGTCCTGGCTGCTCCACTTCCCATCCAGCTCTCTGCTGTGGCCTGGGAAAGCAGCAGTAGAAGATGGCCCAAGTCCTTGGGCCCCTGCACCTGTGTGGGAGACCTGGAGGAAGCTCCTGGCTCCTGGCTTCGGATCGGCACAGCTCCAGCCATCGCAGCCATTTGGGGAGTGAACCAGCGGATGGAAGACTCTCTCTCTCTCTCTCCCCTCTCTCTGCCTCTCCTTCTCTCTCTGTGTATCTCTAACTTTCAAATAAAATAAATGAATCTTTAAAAAAGAAAAAAAGTGACCTGGAGACCACGCTGCTAGTATTCAGGGCTGGGGACAGGATCCGAGGCCCCAGGGAAGGGAGAACAGGATCCAGAGACCCAGCTGTGCCCAGCCAGCCGCTGCTGCGTGAGCCGTGTTTGTACTAACAGGGAGATGCACCGGACGCGGAAGAAAGCAGTTTCTCCCCCTCCCGTTGTCCCACCTCTGGCCCGCAGCGGCCCCATCTACAAGACAGGGTCATCACTGCCCGGCCCTTCACCCAGGGCTCAGGTTCGGACTCCGTGCAGAAGGGCAGGGGCCCCTGGACGGATGTCGCCGCGCAGGCTGGACACCTCCTGGGTCCCCTCCGGCCTGGCCTGGCCATGGAGACCTGAAGTAAGCAGACAGCAGGAGTCTGGCATCCTGGAAGAGGTGAGCCAGTGAGGACATGGGGCCGCTGAGTGACGGGAGGCCACAGCTCTCAGACCCAGGATGGGGCGCTCCCGGGGGCTGGGTGCTGCTGGGAAAAGACCAGGCCCCGGGGCAGGGGACCGGTGGCAGGGCCTGGACTCGAGGCTGGCTGTTGCAGGAGGGCACCTGCTGGCCCTTAACCAGGGCTGCACCCCCCCACACATGCCCCCCACACAGGGAGAGCCCAGCACACACGCAAGTCCTTGCCAGCTTCCCGGAACACAATGCTATCCGCTATCCTGCCTTCGCACCAGTTGTTTTTTTTTGTTTTTGTTTTTTTGACAGGCAGAGTGGACAGTGAGAGAGAGAGACAGAGAGAAAGGTCTTCCTTTGCCGTTGGTTCACCCTCCAATGGCCGCTGTGGCCGGCGCACCGCGCCGATCCGATGGCAGGAGCCAGGAGCCAGGTGCTTCTCCTGGTCTCCCATGGGGTGCAGGGCCCAAGCACTTGGGCCATCCTCCACTGCACTCCCTGGCCACAGCAGAGGGCTGGCCTGGAAGAGGGGCAACCGGGACAGAATCCGGCGCCCCGACCGGGACTAGAACCTGGTGTGCCGGCGCCGCTAGGCGGAGGATTAGCCTAGTGAGCCGCGGCGCCGGCTACGCACCAGTTTTTGACCACAGGTTTACGATGTGGGGGGAGACGGGGTCTACCCTGCCCTTTTGGCTAAGATAAGCTGGGGCCCAGAGACTCCAGGTCCAGGGGAGGCAGAGAGGATGGCGCCTGCCCATCCTGCCACCCACAGCTCCCTGGGGAGCTGGGCCCAGCGTCCTCACCTCTCACTCCCCCCTGGCCCTGCCCTGGCCCTCGCAGACACCTGATGCTCAGTGGAAAGGCGCGCCTCGCCCAGTCCCCTCTCCTGGCCCCGGGGCCTGGCGCTCCAGGCCCGGATCCGATTACGGCCCCCACCCCCTCTCTCTTGCACACAACTCCCCACATTGTCACCACTGGAAAGTTATCTGGCCCTGGAAGCTGCCTCCAAGGCCACCTGGCCTGGGCCCTGGGGACAAGCAGGAGCCACAGCTGGGACCCTGCAAGGGCTATGGCGAGAGTGCCACGGCCTGGGAAGGGGGCGGGGGCTTGGCTACCGGAGTGGTTTTCAGTCTGTCTCACCCCGAGCCCCAGCCTCTGGGCCTGGTGAGCAACCTACAGGCAGGCCTCTCTCCTGTCCTGAGTCAGCAGGCAACCAGCTCCGGGGCCCAGCAGGGGGTGGAGGGATGGGAAGGGGGTCTTTGGTGCCAGAGAAGATGACTGGGCAGTCCCAGAGGGCCCTGAGCACCGGCCACCCGCCCAGAGCTGCCTGCGAATCTGCCCTCAGTGCTGGCCTGCTGCCCACTGGGCATCCTCCCGCCCCCAGGTGAAAGGTAGCCCCCTCCCCCGAGGAGGGCTGCGATGGGTGGATCGGGGCCTCAGGCAGCTCACACCCGGAGCTGGAAGGGCACACTGGCAGCCCCCAGCCCCAAAGACCCTCCGAGGCTGCAGGGCGGGGTGGGGGAGCTCCTCTCTCTGCCTGCGGCCCCTCAACGCCTCGCGCCAGACCAAGAGGCCGGAGCTCCCTTCAGACCGAGTCCGGGGCGATGCTTGCGGGAAAGTTTGCGGCACCGCGGGGACCCTCGCTTTCCGAGGAGCCCCTCGCCTGCCCATTGCCCCTGCCGGGCCGGAGCGAGGGGGCCCCAGGCGGCTACCTGGGTCACCGTCTCCGTCCATCGCTGCGGAGGGCGGTCGCGAGTCCCGCGGCGGCGAGTCGGACGCTGCGCGAGTCCGGGGAGCTCCCAGCGGCCGCGCCTCTTAAAGGCCCCTGCCCCGCCCCGCCCCGCCTCTGGCCCCGCGCCCCGCCGCCCCGCAGTCCCCGCGGTCGCACCGAGGTCTGGGGCTACGGAGTCCTCCGCGGACCCGGGAGGCCGAGAAAGGTCAGGAGTCGGTGTGTTGTTTAATGGGGGGAGGGGAGATTTGGGGCGCTGGGAGAAGAGGCGAGGGGGGCAGGGAGAGTCTGGGTCATGCGGAGGGTGCGGGGCGCGGGCCTCCAGCGGAGTTTGCAGGGGTAGAAGGCTCCTTCCGGTACCCACCCCAGGTAATTTTCCTACGCCGCGGTGGGGGTGCGTCCAGGCTCTGCCAGGCGCGGAGCACGGCGGGGGCGGGGTTGGCGGTGGAGAAGGGGCGGGGCCTCGCGGCGGGGCGGAGCTGGCGGCGGAGTGAGGCTGGAGGCAGGGGCGGAGCTGGCGGCATGGGCGGGGCTCGCGGCGGGGGCGGGGTTGGCGGCGGAGAGTGGCAGGCGGTGGGGGCGGGTCCGGGCCCGCATCCACCGCTCCGAGGCCCAGGCGGTCAGTCTGTTCCGCCGCTGCCCAGCGAGATTGCGCAGCGGCCGCTGAGCGCAGGTGACCTGGCCGGAGGTGGCGCGGGGCGCGCCGGGGCGGGGTCGCGGCCCTGCGGGGGCCTGGCGGGGCAAGGAGGGAGGTTTGGCGCAGAGCAAGCCAGGGCCGCGGGGCTGGTAGCGGCTGCGCTGAGCGGGCTTCGCCAGGTGGCGCGGACGGGGACCAGGGGGTTGGGGTCGCCCTCGACGCGCGGGGGTCGGAGCCCCGACCGTGAGGGGCATTTTAAAGTCACAGGGTGGGAATGGGAGGCCGCAGGCGCCCGGAGGTGAGGAGACAGAAAGGGCCAGCCTCCCCCGTCCCCCACCCTCTGGCCAGGCCTAGCGACGCGGAAACCTGTGCTTTGTGGCCTCTGAACCTTTGGAGTCCGTGGAGGACAGTGATCATTATCCCCCCACCGGCCCCCTCTCCGAGCTTTTTGAGGATGGGGGAGACGATGATGAAACCTGTGGTGTTATCCCCCTTCTAAAGGCGGCTGGCCCTGGAATCCGGGAGGACCCAGCCTCCTTCGCCCTGCTGCCCGTCGGTGGGACCGTGGACAGCTCCTTTGGCTCCCTGGGCCTCCTTAGCGGCCATGGGGAGGCGCAGTGTGAACACCAGGTTCAGCTTGCACTGAGCACCGTGGAGCCTGGCTCCCTGGAGCACCCCCTGGCCCCTGCATGGAAGGAGTGGTCCTGGCCCCGCTCACAGAGGCTTGAGCAAGGTGACTCCTGGTGCCGTCAGTGGCAGCGTGGGGATGGGGGCTCCCACCCCCACCTGGTCCTGGGGAGAGGCCCGGTCTGAAGCCAGCTTTTCGACAGCCCCGGGGGGCCGCCCTGACGCCCGGCCATGGCGGCGGTCAGCATCAACGCGCTGCCCGAGCACATCCTGCTGGAGCTGTTCGCGCACGTGCCCGCCCGCCAGCTCCTGCTGCACTGCCGCCCGGTCTGCAGCCTCTGGCGCGACCTCATCGACCTGGCGACCCTCTGGAAGCGCAAGTGCCTGCGCGAGGGCTTCATCACCGAGGCCTGGGACCAGCCCGTGGCCGACTGGAAGATCTTCTACTTCCTGCGCAGCCTCCACAGGAACCTGCTGCACAACCCGTGCGCCGAAGGTGGGGTGTGGGGTGGGGTGGGGGGGCTCTAGCAGGCGCTGGTACCGTGACACCAGCTCGCCTCGCCAGCGCTTCCCAGCAGCCCCGGGCTTTGTGGGTGCTCTAACTCCTTTCATGCTGTAAAAGAAAGGCAAAGCGACAGAGATCGTCCATCCGCTGGTCCATTCCCCTGTGGCTGCAACAGCCAGTTCTGGGCTGAGCTGGGGCCAGGAGCCCAGGACCCGCAAACTCGCACTTGGGAGACAGGGGCCCGAGGACCTGAGCCATCTTCTGTTTTCCCAGGAGCGTTAGCAGGGAGCTGGCTCGGAAGCAGAGCAGCCGGGGCTTGAATCGGCCCTCTGATACGGGACGCCCCAAGCAGGGGCGTGACTCAGGGGCCAGCACATCAACCCCTCCCAGTAATATTTAGAAGCGGGTTCAGCTCCTGCACCCATTGTTTAGCTGGGCAGACAGAAGCCACGGGTGGTGTTTCTTAGATCTCCCCAGTGGACTCTCCTAGGAAAGAGGCAGTTGGCCAGTTGGGACTCACTGGTGCCCCAGACACAAGACTGAGAACACAGAGCCACGCTTTGTTAGCCTCGTTCCCAGACCCCTGGGACCGCCCCAGAGGTGGACAGGGGGTTTTGGTTGTGGTAGAATGAGGGACCCGGTCACCTGGAGCCCCTCTTCCCTTGGTGCTTTGCCAGCTGTCCGATGGACACTCAGATGGGAAGGGAGTGTTGTTCTCCGTGACCTGGCCAAGCTCCGGAGCACGGTGATGTCTGGAACTTTCTGTCTCACTTGACTCCACCCCCCCCCCCAGGGGTTCTGGTCCAGTGTTTGGCAAACCACGGTCCACAAGGCAAATCTACCCAGGGAGACAAGACCGTTCTTTACATTTTAAAGCATTATTAAAAAAATAATAACAAAGCCACGATACAAACAGTGCACAGCCCATCAAGCCCAAAATATTTTAGCCTAGAGAGTTTCCCGGCCACCGCTCCTGACAACAGCTTACAGGAAGCCACAGCCAGGAGCGGTGGGGCTGGGAGCAGTCTACAGAGGGGTCTGGGGTCCCAGCGCCCTGAGTCCCGGGGTTCCCGTGGAAATCACTCGCCTGTGCCAGGGACGGGGACACCCGCTGTGAGGTGGGCACCGTTGACGTGCGGCATGCACCCCTCCAGCTGTGAGACCAGGGCTGGGAACGGGAAGGAAGGGGCGTCTGGGAGAAGGTAGCCACAGGGGGCTTCTCTCCAGTGTGAACTCTGCCTTCCCGCCAGAGGGGTTTGAGTTCTGGAGCCTGGACGTGAATGGGGGTGACGAGTGGAAGGTGGAGGACCTGTCCAAAGACCAGAGGAAGGAGTTCCCCAATGACCAGGTCAAGAAATACTTCGTGACTTCTTATTAGTAAGATCCGGGGGCCTGGGGGGCGGGGGCCGAGTCACTTCACCCTGGGGTCGCCTGCCCCAGGGATGGGCTGTCCTGGCCCTCCAGGACCCCAGTGGTAAGCCCCAGCCCCTCCCCCCCCGCTCCCAGCACCTGTCTCAAGTCCCAGGTGGTGGACCTCAAGGCCGAAGGGTATTGGGAGGAGCTGATGGACACCACACGGCCGGACATCGAGGTCAAGGACTGGTGAGTACATGGGGCAGAGGCCTGCTCCTCAGGCGCCCTCCCCCCACCTGCCCCCCAAATCCAAGGCCCTAATGGCCCCTCCCTCTTCCTGTAGGTTCGCAGCCAGACCGGACTGTGGGTCCAAGTACCAGCTGTGCGTTCAGCTCCTGTCGTCCGCACACGCCCCTCTGGGGACCTTCCAGCCGGATCCCGTGACAATCCAGCAGAAGAGCGATGCCAAGTGGAGGGAGGTGTGTGGCCCTGGGGCTGGGGGCTGGGGGCTGGGGGAGGCGGACCACCCAAGGCTGAGGCTGCAGGCAGGCAGGCCTGGGCTCAGAGCCAAGCTTTGGCCTCCACTGCTCTGCACTTGACTTGCCTTATCTGTAAAATGGGCACAATAGTGCTTCTGTCTCAGTGCTCTCAAAGAGGTCAATGAAATGATACTGGAAAAGCCAGGTCCAGAAACTGCCCACCAGGTTATACTGTCAGTTACTAACCTCATTTATTACTTCCTGTTGCCTGGATTTCACTCAGCGTTTTCTTTTTCTTTTTAAAGATTTGTTTGTTTATTTATGTGAAAAAGTTACAGAGAGAGAGAGAGAGAGAGAGGTCTTCCATCCAGTGGTTCACTCCCCAATTGGCCACCAAGGCGCCAGCCCCTTTTTTCCTTAAGATGTATTTATTTGAGAGGTAGAGTTACAGACAGAGAGACGGAGAGGCAGAAAGGTCTTCCATACGCTGGTCCACTCCCCAAATGGTCACAGTGGCCAGAGCTGGGAGGATCTGAAGCCAGGAGCTGGGAGCTTCTTCCAGGTCTCCCACGCGGGTACAGGAACCCAAGCACGTGGGCCAACTGCCACTGCTTTTCCAGGCCATAGCAGAGAGCTGGATTGGAAGTGGAGCAGCCAGGTCTTGAACCGGCGTCCATATAGGATGCCGCACTGTAGGCAGCAGCTTTACCTGCTATTCCACAGTGTGGCCCCCAAATGTTTTCTGAAAAGGCCAGATAGAGGGCTGGTGCTGTGACGCTGTACGCAACGCCATGGCCTGCAACCCCAGCATCCCAAATAGGCACTGGTTTGAGTCCCGGCTGCTCCACTTGTTATCCAACTCCCTGCTAATGCACCTGGGAAAACAGTGGAAGACGGCCCATGTGTTTGGATCCCTGCACCAAACACCAGACTCCAAGTGTTTGGGTTCCTCCAAGTGTTTGGCTCCTGGCTTCAGCCTGGCCTAGCCCTGGCCGGTGCAGCCATCCGGGGAGTGAACCTGCAGATAGAAGATATCTCTCTGTGTGTGTCTGTGTGTCTCCCTCTCTCTAACTCTGCCTTTCAAATAAAGAAATAAATTTTTTAAACAAAAAGCCACATTCAAATATTTTAGGCTTTGCAGGCCAAACTCTGTCACAAGCAGCTCTCCAACTCTGCTGTGGCACAAAAGCATTTTGAGACAATGGGTGAACAAATGGATGTGGCTGTGTTCCAATAAAACTTTACACGGCTCTGGACAGTATGTAGACAAATGGCTGTGGCTGGCCAGTAAAACTTTATCCACAAAAACAAGCAGAGGGCCCCTGATGGAGACCAGCGATGTGCACCGGAACTCCCCGCGGTGCCGTACGTGGTCTCTGCTCTGTCCAGTACCGGTGCCAGCAGCCCAGGTGCCCACTGGGCGCCCCGTGAGTGCCAGGCCCCAGCACTGCAGGTGCGGGACCTCCTCCGGGAGCACGCAGAACCTTTCAGTCGATAACCTGGTGGTGCGCACGGGGGCCGGATCTTGCTCCCTTTTACATGAGACGGGAGTGCAGAGTCGGGGAGCAGTCTGGCCAGACTCAGAGCTAGGACGGGCCCAGCCTAAAGAACTCAGCCCCTCCCGGCTCTCCTGTCCCCGAAGGCAGGTTCACCCTCGGGGTCAGCCCCCTGACCTCTCCCCTCCCTCCGCCCGCCCCGCCCCCAGGTCTCCCACACGTTCTCCAACTACCCGCCCGGCGTCCGCTACATCTGGTTTCAGCACGGTGGTGTGGACACTCACTACTGGGCCGGCTGGTACGGCCCGAGGGTCACCAACAGCAGCATCACCATCGGGCCCCCGCTGCCCTGACCGCCCGCGCGCCCCCATCCACCGACCCCTGACTGGTAAATTGCTGGGCTCAGGGCGGGGAGGCGGAAGCCGGCCGCCCTGCCCCCTCCGTGTGTGCCCCCAGTTGCCTTCAACTCCACGAGCTGTGGAGCCAGCCCTCCCCCAAGGCCCCACTGGGATGGAGCAGGGGCCCACGTGGGTCCCTCAAGGAGATGGGGCGAGCAGTTCAGGGGGTGCAGGGTGTTCTCCCAGGCTCCCCTGCGAGTGGGTCTCCGAGCCTGGTGCCAACCTAGAGAGCTGTGTGTCTACCGGCCCCGCCAGAGAGTGGGGACTGGCAAGAGGTGTGGCAAGCCTGTGGCAAGCGTGCACGTGCTGGGTGGCGACCCTGGGGTCTGCCGGCCCCTCCCCCTGCCCTGTGCTGCCACCCCTCCGCTCTCTGCCCCTGCCTGCTGCTCAGAGAGGGGATTTGGCACAGAGGCCCAGGTCGGGCTGGGCTGGGGGGTCCTCCCTCTCAGCCAAGCCCCGGAAGCCACGTGGCTCTCAGGGCCAACGCTCCCATAGACCCAGGGATCCTGCACAGGGTGACCCCGGCAGGTGGGGGACAGGATCGGGCCCCGACTTGGGCAGCCTGGATGAGAGTGCGCCCTGGAGGGGTGGGGAGGGGGGTTCTCAGGGACCACCGAGTACCACCCACCCTCAAGTACCCCCTCCCCATGCCCTTGGAACTGCTGCTCACAGGATCCCACCCCACCCCCCACCCCCACCTGTGCTTCAAGGACAGTGTTCCGACCTCCCCCTCTGCATGAAGCCAAATAAAAGGAGTTCCCAGGCCGACCTGTGCCGGGTGTCTTGTGGGTGGAAAGATGGAGCCCGCAGGCGCAGGCGGCCTGCCTGGAGGAGGTGCCCGGGGTGGCTTCCTGTCCAGGGGACACAGGAGCCGGAGCCTACATCCCACCGGGCAGCCCCTCCCCCGCGACTGCCGCCTGCCACGGGCAGGAGGGGGAGGGGATCCTGTGGCTACTCCTGTGGCTACTCCTGGCGGGCTCGGGTGCCCCTCGGGACGTGAGCAGTGCTTTACCCGCACTGGAGGAAGTCGGAGCATTTAGGTGGTGCCTGGCGCAGGAGGTGCTCAGTGCTCGTCCAATTTAATCCGCTTAAGAGTGCCCAAGCTGAGAGCCTCAGGCAGGGTAGGGCCACCCCCGCCCCCAGGCTCTGTGGCCGCCCCAGGACCCAGCCCCCTTGCGCAGTGCACAGCCTGCGCGACCCTTGAGAGCTGTCTGAAGTAGGTGCTTGAGAGAGAGGCGTGACCCTTTGAGTCAGCGGAGGCCTGGGCGCTCGCCCCGCGGGGCAGGCCCGCGGCTCCGGGCGGAGAGTTGGCCCCACCTCTCTCGGCGGGGAGGAAGCGGTGCGAGGCGGGGCTGCTCGGCTTCCCCGGCAGAGCGGAGGAAGCCCGGGGAGGAGGTGAGCTCCAGCGGCCGCGCCGCCCGCCGCCGGGACGGGGAGTGGGGCCTGGGGAGACAGGCTCCCGGCGGCCGGCCCGACCCGACGCGGGCAGCTGGCGGCGCGTGACGCGGGCGGCGCGGGGCGGGGCGGACGCGCCGCGCAGGCCGCAGGCTTCGGCCGGCCAGAGCTCCGGTCCGCAGGGCGCCCAGCGAGGGTGGACGGGGGCAGCGCGCGAGGGAGGGTCCGGGGCCAGGGGCACGGACCCAGGCCCGGGGTTCCGGGGCCGCCTGGGGGGTCCCGCGCCCCCGTCGGGCCCTGACTCCGACTCGGGGCCTGGTCGCGGAGCCGCCGGGCCAGAGGAGTCACGAGACTTCCCGGCGCTGGGCCTGGCCCCAGCCTCAGGCGCCGCTTCCGAGAAATGGGCCCAGTAGGAAGGCGGGGGCGGGGCAGGGGGTCCGGGCCAGGGGCGCGCGGCCCGCACGGGACGCCGGCCCGTGGGGAGCCGGAACTGTGAGGCAGCCCCTTGAGGCTGGCCTGGGCTTTTCCCCAAGGTGCCCTGGGATGGCCTCGGCGCCGCCCCGCCCCCACACCGAGCCGCCCCCCCCGCCCCCGTGGTGAGGAACCCCGGAAAGTGAAAGAGAAAGCCAGGGAAGCTCCTGCGTGTTAGACGCCGGTGATTGGAGCCCAGTGCTTGGGGGTCTCTACAATGCTTACAGAAGTCGCCCGTTTTTTAGAATCTGAAAGGCAGAGCATGGGTGGGGTGGGGGTCTTCGACCTGTTGGTTCACTCCTCCAATGAGGAGCAGCCTGGACTTCCATGCAGGCCTCCCACGCTGTGCAGGGGCCCACGCACTTGGGCCACCTTCCACTGCCTTCCCAGGCCACAGCAGAGAGCTGGATGTGAGTGGAGCAGCCGAGTCCCGAACCAGCGCCCATGTGGGATGGCGGCGGCGCTGCAGGTGGAGGCTTAGCCTTCTACGCCACCCCCACCCAGGTTCATATTACCTTTAGGACAGGCTTACAGTCCAAAACAGATAGGAGACCTGGCCACGCCGGGTTTTTCTGTTTCCCATCACAGCACTTTCCACAAACACCCAATTGTCCTGCTCCCCTCCCCCAGCTGGGCGCCCACCCTTATCTTCTGGGCTGGAGACCTCCAGTCTCCTGGGATCTGATTCCTGCCTGAGCTGCACCTGGAGGCCAGGGCGTGGCATCTGCGAGTTTCCCAGAAGCTGCAGGGGGGAAGGCGGCCCACCCTCATGGAACCAGCCCCACCCCTGGAACGGAGACTGTTCTAACAACGAAGTCACGGCATTAAAACGGCACAGCAAGCCCCAGACGGAATCTCGGGCTTGAAGAGTAAGGAGTAAGGCGTCGTGGGCGGGGTTTACTTCCCCTAAAGGCGTGAATTTGGGGAACCGGTTCCCCAGCGTGACGGGCAACTCCTCCGTGTGTCCAGGGCTTCCTGTGTCGTTTTCACGAAGAGGAGACAGGACAGGGCAGGTGCCCGGGGCTCGGAGGGTCCCCTGCCTGGCCGGGGCTCCTGACTGCGGTCCCCCGACAGGCCAGCGCGGCCCCGCCCGCCCGGCCATGGCGGCGGTCAGCATCAACGCGCTGCCCGAGCACATCCTGCTGGAGCTGTTCGCGCACGTGCCCGCCCGCCAGCTCCTGCTGCACTGCCGCCCGGTCTGCAGCCTCTGGCGCGACCTCATCGACCTGGCGACCCTCTGGAAGCGCAAGTGCCTGCGCGAGGGCTTCGTCACCGAGGCCTGGGACCAGCCCGTGGCCGACTGGAAGGTCTTCTACTTCCTGCGCAGCCTCCACAGGAACCTGCTGGACAACCCGTGCGCCGAAGGTGGGCTGGGGGCTTGGGGGAGGGGAGAGCTGCCTCTGCATTGCCAGTGGCCGGGGGAGTGCTGCCCGGGCTCCGTGTGCCTCGGGTCTGCCTGGGCCTGCCCCGACCCCGTGTGTGAAGACCAGGGCCGTCACCCTCACTGGGCGCCCCTGGCCTGCAGTGACCTTACTCCTTCCCTCTGCTACAAACATCAAGTTCCAGGATCTGGAGGATCTAGCCCCCCCCCCCACGGGCTGTGACGCCGTCACACGGCACGTCTCACACATGCTCGTGGAGTGGACACTGCAGACCCACCTGACCCGCGTTCAGCCCAAGCTCCTGAACTCCCCTGAGCCTCCCCGGGGTCAGGCCCGCCCCTCAGGTCTTCACTGCCCACCCAGGACGGCCTGTGCCCATTGCACAGATGACAGAAGTGAGGATCTGGGGGTGGCCGCGGTCATGTGCTCTCTGCCAGGGTGTTCTCCCTTCGCATGTCACGTTTATTGCGATCCAGGGCCACAGCAGGGGTGAACGGGCCCCGTTCTGTCTAGAACCCCTTTCCTATGCCCGTTCTGTCCTCACTGCGGTCCCAGAAGGTGGCCGATTCGTGTGGGCTCCAGCTTACAGATGGGGCACTCTAGACCCAGAGACCCCGGACTGCCTCCGACCCGAGGCCCCTTAGACAATGGCCGGACACTCGATCTCCCTGCCTGCCCCAGATCCCGTGAGAAGCCGCGGCCAACGCGGCCAAGCTTCCAGCTCAGCTCACGCAGCCCCACAGAGCCGGCCTGCCCCTCCCCTCCCCTCCCCTCCCTCGCCTCGCCTCGCCTCGCAGGGAGCCGTGGCCCCAGCACTGGCCAGCCCAGCCCTGCTGGGCTCTCCCCCTGGGGACTCTGGCCAGTCTACCGGGGGACCCCCAGGCACCCAGGAAACAGGTGTGGGCTCCTGATGGGAGAACCAAGCAGTTACTTTGGAAGAGGCCGGGTGATGGATGGTTCAGGGCCTTGGAGAGAAGCAGCGTTGCTGCCAGAGGTCCTGCCATCCACAGCCTGGAGGACACCACCCCCTGCCCCGGGCACCTGGCGTCTGACCCGACTCCCTGGACCCCGAGGTGCTGGCTGTGGCCCTGCCGGGGCCTCCCTCCAGGGAGGCGGCTGCCTCTGGCAGGGTTAGACGCGCCATCACGGGCGTTTTGAGGACTGAAACTTGGGTTTTCCCAGAGCCCCACAGCAACCGGGAAGTTAGGAAAGGGCTGGCAGAGGGTCCCTGGTGGTGGCCTGTGTCCCGGCCAAGTCACTCAGGCAGGGAGGGCGGGAGCAGGCGCTGCCCGGGAGTGGGCTGGAGGGGAGCCCCGAGCGAGGCACCCCTGAGAAGGAACAAGCTGGTTGACCCCTTGGCGTGCACAGCCTGGCCCGAGCGGCTTTAAACTCCCACCTGGCTCCGTCTTCCCTAGACGGGCTGAGGGCCTGGCAGATCGACTCCAATGGAGGAGACGAGTGGCAGGTGGAAAGCTGCCCTGGAGCGCACGGGACCAACTTCCCCGACCCCTCAGTCAAGAAGTACTTTGTTACTTCCTACAGGTGAGACTCCACCCCTCTGGGCAGCCAGGGAGGGGTTCCTGCCCCACCCACTTCTGGGCGGCTTCTCGGTGGCTGGGTGACCTGCAAGGCATTGAGATCAAGGAGGCCCGGGGCCCATGCTGGGTGTCGACACGTGTCCCTACCTTGGACAGGAAGTGCACAGTGCACCCTCCTCAGTGCCCTGAGACAGGGCCTCTGGAGTGGTACCAGGTGCTGCCCAGGCACAAGTGGGTCAGCACCAGCCACGCTGGGCCTGCAGCGTTTAGGGGACACTCCCGGGCTCCGGGAGCTGCCGGGCCTGGCGAGGAGGGGCCGTGCAGTCCCAGCTCGGAACACAAGCCTTGCCCTCTGACCCCAGCATGTGCCTCAAGTCCCAGCTGGTGGACCTCAAGGCCCACGGCTACTGGGAGGAGCTGCTGGACAAGGTGCGGCCCGACATCGAAGTCAGGGACTGGTGAGTGGGGCCCGGGCTGCCTGTCCCCTCCCCTCCTGGCCTCCTGCTGGCTGGGGGAGAGAACCCACAAGTGCCCACTGCGTGCCCCCCCTTGCTATCCCAGCAGCACCCCTCGGCCTCCCCAGCCCTGTGTGATGTGGCCCACAGGCTGCACGGGAGGCCCTGGAACCAGAGGACACCGGCCCCAGGGAGGGGCTGGGGGGAACTGCGCGGCCTTCTCACCTGGGTGCCTCCCTGGCCCCGTCCCCTCTCCACCCCACAGCTCCCCCAGTTCTGTACAAGGCCCTGGCTTGCCCATGGCAGAGGCAGGATCCGGTTCTAGCCAGGCCCCAGCACCACCAGGCTGAGGGCAGAGGGGTGAGGCCTGAGGGGTACGCAGCACTGGGCCAGCCGCCACCACACAGAACAGTCCCCTGCCGCCCCAACCTTCCACTAAACCCCCCAGCGCAGTGCACCTTGTCCAGGAGACGCAGCCTGCACAGAGCGGGCCTCTGTCTCTGTAGACAGCCTTTGCCTTTTGAGATCATGTCTTCCGTGGAACACCCCACAGTTGCTGCTTTTCTCAGCTGGGGTAACTGAGGCCCAGCAGGGAGACACTGCTGAAGCCAGCTGGGCCTCCCGGACCAAGCAGAAGGGAGCAAGCTCAGGGCAGTGAAGCTCTGAGCCCGGGTGTGGGCCTGCCCCCTGCGCCATGCCCGGCACAGGCCCTGGCGGCCTGGCGCGCAGCTCTAAGCCGGCCCTCCCCAGGTTTGCCGCCAGGGCAGACTCCGGCTGCTCCTACCACCTCCGGGTCCAGCTGACCTCTGCCGACTACATCGTCTTGGCCTCCTTCGAGCCCCCGCCAGTGACCATCCATCAGTGGAATGATGCCGCGTGGACAGAGGTGAGACCTCGGCTGCTTGCTGCGGCCCACCTGCCTCTCCCGGCCCGGAACGCCTGCTGCTCTCGGGTCCGAGCCCCTGCCTCCCGCCTGAGCAGTGTCTCCCAGGTGACCTGGCCTCCCCCGGCCCACACCCAGGTCTCCCACACCTTCTCGGACTACCCCCCCGGCGTCCGCCACGTCTTCTTCCAACACGGAGGCAAGGACACGCAGTTCTGGGCGGGCTGGTACGGGCCCCGCGTCACCAACAGCAGCGTCATCGTCAGCTGCAAGACCAGGAACCCGGTGCCCTCCACGGCTCAGCCTGAGACGCTGCCCACCACGGGCCCTGATGACTGCCAGTGCCCATCTGACAGCCAGAGGTCCCCTGCAGACAGGAGCTCGGCCTGTGGTGGGCAGGGCCAGTGAGGTCCCCGTTCTAGCCTCGAGCAAGCCCAGCAGCTGGGGCAGCTTCCTGTCACGTAGCTGCCACACTCCACCCTAATAAACGTTTCCAGTGACACCAGCTGGGGTCCCTCCCACTTCTGAGTGAGAGCCCGGCGCAGCCCTTGGGCCCCTTTATTGAAACGACTCACAGCACAGTATGGAGACAGCGCTGGCTGGCTTGAGCCCAGGAGGCTGAGAAGCCGAGGTCCCAGCATCCCTCACTGCCCCTGGGGAGGCTTCCTCCAGGAAGGCCACCAGCCCCAGCAGCCCTGGGCAGGAGGGGGCAGTCCGTCCACGGAGGCCATAAGAGCACTTGGAGTCAGGGGGGCCCTGCAGCGCTGCCCGAGGCTGGGGGCCCCCAAAGTCTCACAGTTGTGGCACGAGCGGGGTGGCAGGTGCACCCTCAGCTGCTTTTCTGAGCTCGCTCTTCCACGTAGAGCTGCATCTGGTGGACAGAATCAAACAGCCTCAGCTGGGTGCCAGCTCTGGAGGGGCAGGCAGGGCAGCAAGCTCGGGGAGGTGCTCCTCCCGCCTTCCCCCTCCCACAGGGCCGAGGAGGCGGGGACTGGCCCCCTGGCCCTCCCCTCCAAGCCCTGCTCTGCAAGGCCGAACCTCCGGAGCAGCCCCTGCAGCTCACCTTCAGAATGTCCGACGTCATGGTCTTCAGGGGTATCAGCCGGGGGTCGTGCATGTGGACATCCTGCTCGTCGGCCAGGATCCACGGGAAATCCTAGGAGGCGGCCCAGGGTGAGGGGTGGAAGGGGCCCTGCCTGGCCCACCCTCACTCTGCTGCCCCTCCCCTCCAGAGCTGGGGTCCTGAGACTTGAGGAGCAATGGAATTCTCAGGGGCCTGTTTGGCAATGCAGATTCCCGGGCCCCACCCGCGAGGCTGAGTGCGTAGAGCCCAGCTGATTTCACAAGCCCAGGTGCTGATTCCAGAACCGGTGGACAGAGGCCCCCTCTGTGGAGAACCCAGCCCCCGTCAGCACTGGGTGCCCGCAGGAGCAGCGACTAGGTGTGTGCAGGCAGTCCACACACAGGAGGACCTGCAGGGCCCCTGCCCAGGGTGAACGGAGGCGCTACGAGCCCCTCCAGCCCCTCACCTTGATGACCTGGATCTTCTCCATGTTGCGAGTGGCGGCTTCTCTCGTGTGCACCAGGACTGTGAAGGTGCAGCCTGGAGAGGGGAGAGCTTGGTCAAGGCTAAGCAGCCCCGCCTGGACGCCTCCAGCCCCACAGGGTGTAAACCGCGTGCTAAGAAAAGGCACAGTCCGGGCTGGCATTGTGGCCTTGACCCCACAGCCCACACAAGCTCCCTGCAAATGCGCCTGGGGAAATAGAGGAAGATGGCCCAAGTGCTTGGGCCCCTGCCACCCACGTGGGAGACCCAGATGAAACGCCTGGCTTCAGCCTGGCCCGGCCCTGGCCACTGTGGCCATCTGGGGAGTGAACCAGCAGATGGGAGATCTCTTACTCTCTCCTCTCTGGAACTCTGCCTTTTAAAAGGGCACAGTCCCCAGGGAGACTGCAGCCGGGTGGCGTTGATGGGGAACCTTCCTGGAGGAGATGGGTTCCCAGGTTCTGAGGGGCAGGAAGAGCCGAGGCTGCTGCAGCCAAATGGGGGGCGGGGGCCCGTGGGGGGACAGGAGCGGCCCACCTGGGGGGTTGTGGTCCAGCACGGCGTCACACACGCTGATCTTCAGGATGAAGGCTCGCAGCAGCTGCTCCACGTGAGACAGCAAGGAGTCGGAGCTGGGAAGGAAGAAGGGGCCTCCGTGACACGGTGCCCTCCTTCCCCCTGGCAGGAGGTCACCCCCGGAAGCAGACTGGGGACCCAGAGCCCGGTGGCACCCCAGGAGTCGCCAGCTCCCGGCGGCGCTGACTCTGCCACACAGGGTGACCTCGGTCGCCATGCCTTTCTGAGGGGGGGGCAGCCCAGCCAGATGCCCCAGGGTGAGGGGGGACTGCTCGCAGAGAACAGCAGAGGGCGTTGTACGCAGCTGCAAGCCCAGTCCCCTGACCATGCACACAAGCACAACACCCCACCTTCCACCCTTCCTGGGCGGATGAGCATTGCCATGCTACAGGGGGCCACCTGCCGCCCTGGTCCAGGATCTCATCGTAAGTTACCCTGATAAACCCTTCTCTCATGTGGAACGTCCATTTATTTATTTATTTAACACTTTAACCTTATTTGAAAGGTAGAGACAAGACACATACACAGATCTTCCATCCACGGCTTCACTCCCCAGAGGCACACAACGGCCGGGGCTGGGCCAGCCTGGAGCCAGGAACCCAGAATTCAGTCTGGGTCTCCCATGTGGGTGGCAGGGCATTAGCACTGATGGGCATTAGCAGGAAGCTGGAATCTGAAGCAGAGCCAGAACTGGAACCCAGGACTCTGATACGGGATAGAGGGATTTCAAAGTGTCGTAATAGCTGCACCAAACACCAGCCCCTGGAGCTTCCCGGTTAGCTGCCGGCAGACCAGTTGCCACGGCAGGGTCTGGCTGCTCAGCAGCCACTGCTGCCTTCTCCCCGTAATGCCGACGCAGGGGAGAGCCCCGGGAGCCAAAGACCACTAGGACTGTGGGCGACTGCACGTGGGCTGAACCGGCAGCTCCGACCAGTCCCCCGAAGCAGCAAGGCAGGAAAGAAGGCCCTCTGGCTGGGCGCTCCCCGCCGCGGGACACCAGAGGTGATGGGATTATGCTGGCGGAAACCAAAGGAAACACAGATGAGGGCAGCGGCCCACCCACGGGAGGCCTCCCCAGGGCAGACAGACAGCATCCTGCTGGGCTGAGCGCACTCCCAGGGCAGCTCCAAGCTACTTACCAGGCTCTGCCCAGAAATGAAGGTTACTAAGAGTAAGAGGAAAAATTCTAATCAATATGTGATAAATAAAAATAAGAGTAGGGGCCGGAGTTGTGGCACAGCAGGTTAGGCTGCTACCTTGCCAACACCAGCATCCCACATTAACTCTGGTTGGAGTCCCAGATGCTCCACTTCCGATCCAGCTCCCTGCTAGTGTGCCTGGGGAAGCAGCGGAAGATGCTCCAAGCACTTGAGCACCTGCCACCCACACAGGAGACCCAGCGGACTGCCTGGCTCCTGGCTTCAGCGTAGCCCAGCCCTGCCTGTTGCGGCCATGTGGGGAGTGAGCCAGAGGACGGAGGATCTCTCTCTCTCCTTCTCTAACTCTGCCTTTCAAATAAATCTTTCAAGTAAGGGAATCTGCCGGTTCAGCCCACGTGCAGTCGCCCACAGTTCCTGGGGCTCTCCCCTGCATCGGCATTACGGGGAGAAGGCAGCAGTGGCTGTCGAGCAGCCAGACCCTGCCGTGGTAACTGGTCTGCGCAGCAGCTAACCGGGTCCGCTGGCTCCTCATGGAAGTCCCTTCCCTCCGCCATGACAGCCCGAGGCAGGCGCAGGGGTGCGTTTTCTCTGTCCCTGCGCAGCTGTACACACCGAAATAAATATATCTTTATAAGTAAATCTTTATTTGAAAGGCAAACTTATAGAAAGAGATCTTCTATGCACAGGTTCACTCCCCAAATGGCCACAACAGCCAGGTCTGGGCCAGGCTGAAGCCAGGAGCCAGGAGCTTCTTCTGGATCTCCCACGTGGGTACAAGGACCCAAGGTCTTGGGCCGTCCTCTGCGGCTTTCTCAGGCACATTAGCAGGGAGCTGGATCGGAAGTGGAGCAGGAAGCCCCTGAACCAGTGCCCATATGGGATGCCGGCACTGCAAGAGCCAGTCTAACCCGCTGCACAGTTGTCAGCCCCAATAATTCTTTTTAAAAAGCTAAAATTAAGAGAAAACAATTCCACATATGAATTGGTAGGTGAAGTTATAGGATATAAGAGATGTGTTTTGGTTGAGGGGAAAAGTAACTTGTGTTTAATTTTGATGCCTTCTGCTGGATTTTAAGTTATTATTCATTTACTTACTTGAAAAGCAGACCGACAAACAGGGAGACAGAGGGAGATCTTCCCGTCTCTGGTTTGCTCCCTGAAGGCCCCCAACAGCCAAGACTGGGCCAGGCCAAAGCCAGGAGCCCAGGACCCCACCCGGGTTCCCCACTGAGTAGCTGGGCTCACGTCACTGCCTCCCAGCATGTTAGTAGAAGGCTGGATAGGATACAGAGATGGGACTCGATCCCAGGCACTCCAATATGGGATCCCAAGTGGTGGCTTAACCCACTGCACCACAAGGGCCACCCACAAAGAGTATTTTTGTCCTACAGTAAGAGGGCAGGGCCGGCGCGGTGCCGCAGCTGGTTAAGCCAGTGTCTGCAATGTCCACATCTCATATCAAAGTGCTGATGCCTCCCAGCTGCTCCGCTCCCAGTCGGCTCCCTGCCAAAGCACCTGGGAGGGCTTCGCTGTCTCAAGTGCACAGACACTAAGGCCAGGCCAGGGACGGCCAAGTGGGGACTTGGGGTTTGATCCTGGGGTGGATCGGATAGTTCCTGCTACAGTGTGATGCGTCCCTGGCCCCCCAAATTGGTCCCCAACAATCCTGGTGACAGAGGACCTGGGGGCACCACCGCTGCCGACTGGGCTCAGGGGCGCACCCTGGGGGCACTGAGGTTGGCCTCCTGGGTTGGACGCCGCTGCCCAGGGCCCTAGCCGCTGCTGGCCAGCAGGTTTCCTAACAAATGATGCTAGCAGTGTAGTCCCAGGAGACGGCGCAGGTTCGCAGTACAAGTCCCTACTAAACATTTAGCACTTGGATGCTCCTCCACTAGGGCTCTGGGTAAGCACAAGAAACAGACTGATCAGTATTGTCATTTCCACGGTCATCTTTTCTCTCTGTTTGTTCATGTGCCTCTGTGATAGCTGTAGACTCTGCTTATAAGCCAAATATGCCTACAAGACAATGCTAGAAACCTCTCACGTGGGGCTGGCCTCGTGGCGCAGTGGGTAAGCTGCCACTGGTGATGCCGGCATCCCACATGGGAGTGCAGGTTCAAGTCCCACCTGCTCCTCTTCTGATCCAGCTCCCTGCTGATGCACCTGGGAAGGCAGTGGACAATGGCCCAAGTGCTGGGGCCCCTGCCAATCACGTGAGAGCCCTGGATGGAGCTCCTGGCTCCAGCCTGGTCCAGACCTGACCATTGTGGCCATGTGGGGAGTGAAGCAATGATGGAAGATCAACCTCTCGATCTCTGTCTCTCCCCTCCCCACTCCCCCATCACTATGCCTTTAAAATAAATAAGTAAATCTTAAGGAAGAAAAAACAAAACGCCCAAACCCTCCCAGGCTCAGGGACACGCGAGATCGTAAGCAGCTGCTGCAAGGGTGACACACAGACACAGCCTGACCAGCACCACCTCCTCTCTCCCGGACTCTCCCTCCCTCTTGGCTCCCGCCTCTGCCAGGAACACGGGGTCCTTGTCACATTCACTGCTGCCCTGAGATGGGCTGCAGGCCCCGCCTGATCGTGGCTCAGAGGCCTTCGTGGAAGAATGGTGGGCACGACCGCACAGGCTCCGTGTGTCAGGGCAGAGGGGGTCACAGCAAACCTCCGTGGCTCCAGCTGGAGCCGCCTGCTGTCAGAATGACCCTGGCCCTGCCGGCCCCCTCTCTAGCCACACAGGATGCCTGCGGTCACCACGAACACAGCCCCCTGACCACGCATAAGCACAACACCTCGTCTTTCCCCTCCCCGGCTCCGGGGCAGAATACGTGGGTAAGCCTGGCTGAAGCCAAGGCCGCCGGCCACCCTGGTCTGCGACGCCCCAGCACTCTCCTCTGCTCTTACGCAAAGCGTCCGTCTTCATCCTTTGGTCTCAGGATTCCTGGCCTGGGATGGGGAGCATTACAAGCCCACCCACACCCACCAACACCACACCTGGACAGCTTCTAGGACCCAGCCCATGTCAGAGTGAGAGGGAGGGGCCCCGGGGCTTCCTGGGTGTTTGTAAATCACCAGGACACCAAGCTGGGCGGAAAGGGTGCGTGTGAACTCACGTGGCCAGTGGGGACAAGCTCCTGACCTCCCCACAGGAAGCACGGGTGGACGCTAACACCTGAGCACAAGGTCAACCTCAGCTGCCTATGGGCCGGGCGCTTGCCTGGGAAACCAGGACATCGCTCGGCGTCCTGGCTTGTCCCCGACCAGGGCGTCCCGGGAGGCCGTGCCATCGCCCTGGACCTTGGTCTCTGCAGCCTGGGACAGACATTCAGAGGCCGTGATTTCCCAGGTGACACAGGAGGGTGTCCACGTGCCTGGGGCCACCAAGGCCAGCGTGGGGCCAGCCACGCCCCCGCAGTGACAGGCTGAGACCTCGCCGGGCAGGCACATCTGGCGTTTTCTCCTCCATCAAGGTATTCAGGGCTGCCAGGAAGGGCGGGGGCGGGGTGGCGCTGCAGCTCAGCAGGTTAAGCCGCCGCGTGCTATGCCTCGTGCTAGGCCGCGATCCCATATTGCAGCACCAGTTTAGAGTCCTGGCTGCTCCGCCGCTAACCCAGCTCCCTGCTAATCCACCTGGGAAAGCGGGAGGATTGGCCAAGTACTCGGGTTCCTGCCACCCACACAGGAGACCCGGATGCAGTTCCCAGCTCCTGGCTTCAGCCTGGCCCAGCCCTGGCTGTTGTGGCCATTTGGGGAGTGAACCAGCAGATGGAAGATCTCTCTCTCTGTCTCTCCTTCTCTCTTACTCTGACTTTCAAACAAATAAACAAATCTTTTTTAAGAATTTTATTTATTTGAAAGTCAGAGTTACAGAGAGATCTTCCATCCACTGGGTCACTCACCAGATGGCCGCAATGGCCAGGAGCCAGGAACTTCTTCCAGGTCTCCCACACATTTGGGCCATCCTCCACCGCTTCTCCCAGGTCATCCAGCAGGGAGCTGTATGAGAAGTGGAGCAGCCGGGACCCAAACTGGTGCCCATATGGGATGCCAGTGTTGCAGGTGGTGGCTTAAACCTCTGTGCCACAATGCTGGCCCCTCAAAGAAATATCTTTTTTTTTTTTTTGACAGGCAGAGTGGACAGTGAGAGAGAAAGACAGAGAGAAAGGTCTTCCTTTGCCATTGGTTCACCCCCCAATTGCCGCTGCAGCTGGCATACCACGCTGATCTGAAGCCAGGAGCCAGGTGCTTCTCCTGGTCTCCCATGCAGGTGCGGGCCCAAGTACTTGGGCCATCCTCCATTGCACTCCCGGGCCACAGCAGAGAGCTGGCCAGGAAGAGGGGCAACCAGGACAGAATCCAGCGCCCCGACTGGGACTAGAACCCGGAATGCCAGTGCCACAGGTGGAGGATTAGCCTAGTGAGCCACGGCAGCGGCCCCAAAGAAATATCTTTTAAAAAAAGGAAATAAATAGGGGCTGGCGCTGTGGCGCAGTGGGTTAACGCCCTGGCCTGAAGTGCCAGCATCCCATATGGGCGCCAGTTCTAGTCCCAGCTGCTCCACTTCCGATCCAGCTCCCTGCTGTGGCCTGGGAAAGCAGAAGAAGATGGCCCAAGTCCTAGGGCCCCTGCACCCACGTGGGAGACCCAGAAGAAACTCCTGGTTCCTGGCTTCGGATCGGCGCAACTCTGGCCATTGCAGCCAATTGGGGACTGAACCAGCGGATGGAAGACCTCTCTCTCTGCCTCTCCTCTCTCTCTGTGTAACTTTCAAAAAAAGAAAGAAAAAAAGGAAGGAAGGAAGGGAGGGAGGGAGGGAGGGAGGGAGGGAGGGTGGGAGCCAAGGGGCCGGCTACTAGGTACCTCACACCAGCGAGCAGGAGGGGTTGGGGCAGCAGCTCACCTGATGGACAGCAGCGGAGGCTGGGTGATCTCAAAGACAAATTTCTCCACTGGGCGGTGCTCTTTATCCAAAATCACCACCACCACTTTCTCCACGTCATTCTGCAAGGGCAGGATCCCCCACTGCAGGGCCAGACAGCCCGCTCCGCCCCACCCCTCCCCACCCGAGGATGCTGGAAAAGGCACGCTCAGCTCTGCGGGGCCAAGGGGCCCCGAGCACCCAGAAAGCAGGTCTGCGGTGTTCAAGTTGACAATGGACCCGGGAGGTAGGGATGGGGGTCCTAGGAAACCCGAGACCAGGAAACCTGGAGCGGCCTGGCCCAGACAGAAGTTAGTGTGGGTGGAGGACAGCGACAGGCTCTGGGGCAGCCCCACAAGGCCAAGGCACCCTGCACGTGGCCCGCGTGGCCTGGGGCCCATCCCTGGGTGGCAGCAGGGAATGGCTTCCACGGGTTAAAGCCAGGAGGACCCGACCTGGCCCCGGGGTCAGCCCCTCCCGGAGGTGGGGGACCGAGCGGGGACGAGCTGGCCGGCAGGGCCCAGGCCCTCACCTTCTCCAGGAGCGGCTTGACGCAGTGCAGGGTGTCCTGGATGTACTGGTTCAGCTCCGGGTGGCAGGACATCTGCACACAGCACATACCCGGGCGGCACGGATGGGGAAACCGCCCTGCCACCCCGGCCCCCAGCACCCTCCACGGCACCCTACCCGAGACCCCGCCTCCCTTCGTGGGGCTAACAGCCGTGACCCTCTGTGTGTGAAAGCAATGGCAAGGCTAGACTTGACAGCAGCAGGGCTCCCGCCCGAGTCGTGTGCACCCGGGATCTAGCACTCCAGCCAGACTTCGGGGAGGTAAGCCCTGGGCCGCTGTGCGGCCTCAGGCACACGGCTTCTCTGAGCTCTGGTGACTTCATCTGTTAAGATCTCGTCAAGAAAAAGTGCTCACTTCCATCTGAATAAGTGAACACCCGACACGGCGGGTACACACAAGGGCCAATGATGGTTCGGCTTTTCCCTGTCTCTCCTTGAAGCCTCCACCACGTTCCCAGGGACAGGCACTGCTGGGCCTGCCTTCCAACCTTAAACAACCCCCGCAGGGCTCAGAGTCCACGCGGGGAGGGGGGAGGTGCCAGAAATCTACACAATCCTCTCCAGACCCCAAGGTTCCCCGGCTCCGGGGGCTCCCCGAACGCGCCCCGGCCCCAGGGCCACTCTCTTCCCAGAGCCTGGTCCCCAACTTCCGGGGAGCGGGAACATTAGAGGCGCAAGGGCGGCTGCAGGGACCGTGGAGAGAGGGGCTGGGCCCGCCGGCGTGGGGGGATTCCCCTAAAAATCCCCCTTCCCCTCTTTCGCGCCTCCGGGGCGCACCGGCCCCAGCGCCGCGCGGGCTCACCTGCACCGGCACGTTGTATTTCTTGCGCTTCTGGAAGATGCCCACCGGGTAGACCTCGCGCACGTAGAGGATGAGGTGCACCGCCACCTCCAGGAACTCGCAAAGCACATCGGCCACCACTGCGGACAGCACGCAGCCGGCCGCGCTCGCGGGCGCCCGCGGACTCCCGCGGCCCCGGCCCCTGCCCCCGGCCCCCGCCCCGCCCGCAGGCCCGGCCCCCTACCTTGGCCAAAGTTGAGGTCCTGCCGCGTGAGCGTGGTCATCCTCCCCGCTCCCTGGGGTGGGCACACGGGCAGGGGTGGGTCCACAGGCCCGACAGCCCAGGCGCTCCCCCGCGTCGGCGGAGGCTCGGGGCAGGGCGGCCCTTCCCACACGGGGTCAGGGACGCCGACCCCGGGTCTTGGGGGGGCGGCAGCAGCACCCCCGATCAGCCTCCGAGACCCGCAAAACCTGCAGGGCCGCGGACGCAGAGGGAAACAGCCGGCGGCCAAGGGCCGAGCGCGCAGAGCGGGACGCGCCCGCGCTGGAAGAAAACCCCGCCCCGTGCGGAGCCGAGCGCCTCTCTGGTGGGAAACCTGCCCGTTCTCCCTGCCCTCGGTACCGGCTCCGACCTCGGTTCCCGCACCGGTTCCGGTCGGGGCTCCAGGGCCGGGAGGCTGCGACCCGACCGCTCGCGCCTCCCGCCCAGCCCGCACCCTCGGCGCGGCTCGGTGACGTCCGCGGCGCTCCGCCGGGTCCTAGCGCCGCCTCAGGCCACGCCCTCTACCCAGAACAGGCCAACCAGGGCCTCGCACTGGGCGGGCCCGGCCCGTTGTGGGCGGGGCTTGTGTGGGTCGGGCTCGCGGAGACCGCAGCACCGCCTCCCTTCGACGTCAGGTGGGGCGGAGAAACGCAACTTTGGTGTCCAGCGCCGAACGCACAGCCTTTTCCCCTCTAGGGCATCTCCCTTGCTCCAGGGACACTGGATAGGGGCTGTGGGCGAGGGCAGAGACATCTGCTAGCCTCGAACGCTCAGCCGCCCGAGCGAAAGCGCATCCGTCGGCTCCGGGCGGGGTCGGGGCGGACGCGGGTGGGGGGCGGTGGTGGTGGTGCACCGGGCGCGCCCCGCCCCCCCCCCCCCCCCGCCATCCCCACGTGGAACCTGGAGCCTGCTCGGCTCCGAACGTGTGCAGGCTCCAGGCTTGAGAGTGCCCGGGGAGACCTCGCTAAGGCCTCAGAATGACAGCACGTGCGAGCTGCTGGGACGGCTAACCCGGCACAGAGCGGCGTGGCCGCGGAGGCTCACAGCTAGTTGGGGTGGGGGCACCGGCCCAGGGGCCTCCTTCCACAGGCGTGGACCCGGTCCGCAACAGCTGAAAGGGCTCTCGGAGATAATGGCAATAGCAACGCTAGCACAGAGCCAAACGCTAGCACTTCCGGGCCAAACACCGGCTGCTTTAATTCCTGCATCAACCCTAGGAACCAAGTATCCATCTCACAGCCCCTCTTTAGCGATGGTGAGACATTTCCCTAATTCGACAAAATCCCACGGTTGAAATAGAAACCCAAGCGCGCGTTACCATCTGTGCACAAACTGAACCGGGAACGTTAACTAATGGTTTACACTTCCTTGTTGGAGACCTGCTCACCCCCTCCCTCCCTCCAGTCCTGCACCCAACGCAGGTGTGATGGGAAGGGAAGCAGTCATTTGGCCAATTAAACCAGGAATGTCAGCCCGACCTAGGGAAGCTGCATCAGAATCCCCAGGGAGGCTCTTCAACCAGGCCCTGCAGCCTGGACCCACCTGATCCAGGTCCAGGTGCATGCCAGGCACTGGTCCTTTATGTTTTTATTTATTTTGACAGGCAGAGTTAGAGAGGGAGCCAGAGAGAAAGGTCTTCCTTCCATTGGTTCACCTCCCCATCCCTCAAATGGCTAGCCAGGAGCCAGGTGCTTCCTCCCAGTCTCCCATGCAGGTGCAGGCACCCAAGCACCTGGGCCATCCTCCACTGCCCTCCCGGGCCACAGCAGAGAGCTGGCCTGGAAGAGGGGCAACCGGGACAGAATGCGGCGGCGCCCCAACGAACCTGGGGCGCCGGCGCCTCAGGCGGAAGATTAGCCTAGTGAGCCATAGTGCTGGCTGCACTGGTCCTTTAACTAGCTCCCCAGGGCCCAGGGTTGCCGAGGAAGTGTGGGAATTTTCTTGGTTTGGGCTGTTCCTAGGGAGCGTCTGCATTTTGCAAAATTGCAATGCTTAACCCCAAGGGACCGAAGACCTCCTCCTGGTGCGCCTAGTGGCACACGTGGGGCAAGCGACCTTTCTCAAGACTCGGAGACCAGCAGGTGCACACGGCGCCTGGCTGAGGGCTCCCCGGCCTGTGGACAGTCCCCCGGCTCCCTGAGGTTGAATCCTCGCAGCTGTGTGGGTTGCAGACTGTCTCAGGAGACTGCCCCAGCAGCTTTCTGGCTGGCAGTCCGGGGTGGGGTGGGGGGGGGGCAAGTCTTTGTAACAGGCGCTTGTGACTAGAGCCCAGGGTGGGGAGCTACTTCTGTGTGGTGTCCCTGGACCTGGTGGGAGGGAGGTGGAGCCCAAGCCAGGCCCTCCCTCCACGGGCCCCCGCCCCGCCCCTGCGCCTGAACAGACACAGTGCAAGCCACCTATAGGTCCCCTGACACACAGAGCTAAGTCCTGAGGACAGAAACCCAACAGCCTCCCTTTCCTTTGGGGAAATCGAGGTCCCAGTGGCCTCTGAATGGAGAGAACTGGCCTTCTCGACCTTTGGATGGAAACATCTGGGTTTGGAACCTTGGCTTCAGAGCTGATCAGTCAGCTGGGAGGCACGTGGGCCAGGACTCACCTGGCGTGACCCCTGGCCCCCCGAGGGCATCAGTCAGGGAGAGAACAGGCTGGACAGATGTTCCCTGCGCTGCTGAGGGACTGAGGTTCCACGGGGGCTGAGAACCTGGGGGACAGGAAGACCCGGCCATCCGAGGGGCTCTGAGCATCTGGCTTCCCCTATCTTAATCGCATCAGCATGATGGATGGGCTAGGGGCTGGATTACATTATGGGGTTAATTTATGACATTCCGGAATACCCTTGTGCCAGGAGACTGTTTCTCAGAGTTATTTGCATGTTTTCCCACCATAATGACAATATGCAGACAGGCAGCCGGGAGCAAAGGATGCGGGTTTGGGAGGCCAGAGAGCTTATTTGCCACCTGGAGCAGGTCCCTGAGGGCCGCCATGGGGAAAGAGGCAAATTCACTCCCAGAGATATTTCACAGCCATGGAGAGGAGGCGCTGGGAGAGGGGTGGGCGCCTGAGCTCCGGCCACTGCCCTGTGCAGACAGAGGCTTACAGCACACAAGGAGGCAGCTGGCTCAGGCAACAGGCCCAAGGACCCAGACCTAAGATGCTTCAAGAGCCCCCTACCCGCCAGGCTACCAGAGGACCTGTTCTCTATGCTGTCCTGCCTAAGGCTCCCAGGACACCATGGTGTGGCCGGGGGGCACCACGCGTAGCCTGGCAACGATTCCACTGCCGCCCCGATGCTCGGGGGCCCAGCCAGCTGGACCGCCCCTCGAGCAGGGCGTCAGCCTCATGCGCCCCATCTGGTTCCTGGCCACGCTCAGGCTCTCGAGGAGTGCATGTTCCACGCGGAATGAAACAGTGACGAGGAATGAGGTGATGGGGCGCCGCGGCTCCTTCCTGCTGCCCAGCCTGGATATCATGTGAGGCAAGGGCGGAGCTGTTTGCAAAGACAAAGCCAGGGCTCTGGGATGTTCCTGCCGGCACGGCTGTCCCCACTGGGCCTGCTCGCGTGTCCGACCTGCTGCGTCTCTCCCCAGCCCTGCTCCTTTTGCCAACTGGGAGGCCCGCCCCTCTCTCAACCTCAGTTTGCTCCCGTGTAAGATGGGCTGAGCATAGGAGATAGCGTTTGTGAAACTAGAAAGGGCACAGTGGCTGGCACGTGGCACGTGGCTGCCGAGTCAGTGGTTGCCAGGACACTGAGGCACTCTGGATGCCACTGAGCTTCCCCTTTCCCACATCCCAGGGCAGCGGGGAGCCCTCGGCAGGACAGGCAGCCTCATGGGCCACGGGGCCGGAAAGCAAGAGAGCCCCTCCCCTCCCTCATCCAGCCACTCTGGTGTGAGGCCTGACCTGCACAGCCGCCCCAGGGCCTGGGCCCCCAGCCGGAACGCTGACCTCTGGCCAGGAACACCGACTTCCAGGACTTCAGCTGGAGCGATGCCCGAGACAGTCGCTCAGTGTCTCAGCCTCAGGGGCTCTCGGCCCACTAGGACCTCAGAGTCAACCCACCTGCCACTCCAAAGTAATAGGAAGTCCTTTATTGAGCTAGCATCCACGCAGCCCGAGGGCCACCCCGTGACCTGAGCGTAGTCACAAAGTGCATCGGTCACCACCATCAGTTCCAGAACCTTCCCCACTCCACAGTCCCTCCCCCGCACCCAGCGCCGGCAGCCCGGCCTTGCCCGGATCTCCGCAAAGTGTCCTTTCCTGTAAACGGAACCACGCGCCACGCGGCTCTGTGTCTGGCTTGTTTCACGTGGCATAATGTTTGCAGGCTTCCTCCAGGCCGTGGCCCCCATTAGCACTGCGGTCCTTCCTTCGGCCAAGTGACGGCTCCTGGTATGGGCATAGCACGTGCGCCTATCCACTCACCAGCTGGTGCACACTCGGGCTCACGTTGGCCATTCAACCGTCACATTCTACAGGCGGGGAAACGGAGGCCCAGAGTCGGACAGCCTGCAGGGATGGGAGTCCAGGCCTCCCCTCACAGCCCCCTGGCGCTCCTGGGAGAGTGCAGGGAACAGCGCCCAAGGATGTGAGGAGCTCGCCCAGCTAGAGAACCTGCGACGGCCGCACTGGGACCGGAGCCTCGGCGCTCCGCTGCAGCTCATGGATGCCGGCACACCTCCTCCGTGCGTCTCCCAGGCCCGAGCCACCGTCACCTCCGCTCTGCCACCGCTCCTCGCGGGCTCCCTGCCCTTGCGCTGACTCCACTGCACTCTGTACTCAGCGCTAAGAGTCACAGCGACACTGTTAAAACCCACACCAGTTCCTGTCTGTCCTATCACAACCCTGCAATGGCTCACAGCTCAGACTGAAAAAGCAAAGTTCGTACTGTAGCCTTTGCAGGCTCTCAGGGTCCATGGCACCTCCCTCTCTGACTTACACACTGGCTTCCTCCCTCAGGCAAGCACACGAAACATGCCTCCTGCCTCAGGACCTTTGCACTGGCTCTTGCCCCCTGGCACATCACTGCTCTCCCAACACAAGGATCATAACCTAATATTCTTTGCCAAACACTTCCTTGCCAAAGAGTTCTTTCCAGATGACCTTATGTTAAGTAACCTCTCTACTAGGGCTGGCGCCCGTGGTGCAGTAGGTTAATCCTCCACCTGTGGTGCCAACATCCCCTAGGGGCGCCGGTTCTAGTCCCGGCTGCCCCTCTTCCCATCCAGCTCTCTGCTATGGCCTGGGAAAGTGGGAAAGCAGTAGAAGATGGCCCAAGTCCTTGGGCCCCTGCCACCCACAGGGGAGACCAGGAAGAAGCTCCTTGCTCCTGGCTTCGGGTCGGCATAGCTCCAGCTGTTGCATCCATTGGGGAGTGAACCAGCGGATGGAAGACCTTTCTCTCTGTCTCTCCCTCTCACTGTCTATAACTCTGCCTCTCAAATAAATAAATAATCTTTTTTAAAAAATAACCTCTCTCCCCTT